CAAATGACCTAATGGCCTCATGGGTGGAATGTTATGAATATCTTTCATAATTAATAAACATAATAATTTTTTAACTCGGAAGATCCGGTGTTTCTATGTCAAATGTTTAAAGAAATATATTTTTCAGTCTTCTGTGATGTATATAAAGTGTAATATTGTGATGCAAACTCAAAATGTAATACATTTCAACTCTATATCTGACATGGTACAGGTGTCTTCTGTTAAGCCCATAACCATGTGTGTGAGGTCTATACTTTTGTTTCAAAGTAGATTTTCTGAAGACTACCAAGAAACACTTTGTGTGACCCTGATTTAGCCCACTGCAGTAAAAGCTTAAGGCTACAGGATGTAGTCATTGGCTTTGTACATGGACTGTTGTTTAAAAGTAAACAGTGTCATCTGAAAATGATTCCAGTTTAACTGGTTTACTGTAGCATGGAAACAAACATCTTAGCGCCGTCCCTAATAGCACCTGCTATTCCCTATATAGTGAACTACTTTTGGCCAGATTCCTATGGGCCCTGGTCAAAAGTAGTGAACTAAATAGGAAATAAGGTGCCATTTGGGACACAGACATGGATAACAAGAAGAAATCTCACCACCTACCACTGACCTAAAGAAACCCTTTAGAGCCAGACACACTGCTTCCCAAATGGCACCCTATTTCATATATAGTGCACTATATTTGACCAGGGCCCATAAGACTCTGGTCAAAAGTAGTTCACTATAACATTATAGGGAATAGGGTGCCATTTGGGACGCTGCCAAGGCCTGGCTGGCTGGGTGGGTGTAAGGCTTTGGGTTGCATCCCTATTAACTACTGTTATTGCTGTTTACTGTGGTATCTATCTACAGACAATGAAACGGACTAGTCTGGTTTATTGGCACCATATATTTACAGCCTTTTTAATAAATGTGTCTAATATAACAATACTCAGGGTGGCATACAGTTGAAGTCGGAAGTTTACATACACCTTAGCCAAATACATTTAAACTAAGTTTTTCACAATTCCCTGTCTTAGGTCAGTTAGGATCACCACTTTATTTTAAGAATATGAAATGTCAGAGTAATAGTAGAGAGAATGATTTATTTCAGCTTTTATTTCTTTCATCACATTCCCAGTGGGTCAGAAGTTTACATACACTCAATTAGTATTGGGTAGCATTGCCTTTAAATTGTTTAACTTGGGTCAAACATTTCGGGTAGCCTCCACAAGCTTCCCACAATAAGTTGGGTGAATTTTGGCCCATTCCTCCTGACAGAGCTGGAGTAACTGAATCAGGTTTGTAGGCCTCCTTGCTCGCACACGCTTTTTCAGTTCTGCCGACACATTTTCTATAGGATTGAGGTCAGGGCTTTGTGATGGCCACTCCAATACCTTGACTTTGTTGTCCTTAAGCCATTTTGCCACAACTTTGGAAGTATGCTTGGGGTCATTTGGAAGACCCATTTGCGACCAAGCTTTAACTTCCTGACTGATGTTTTGAGATGTTGCTTCAATATATCCACATAATTTTCCTTCCTCATGATGCCATCTACTTTGTGAAGTGCACCAGTCCCTCCTGCAGCAAAGCACCCCCACAACATGATGCTGCCACCCCCGTGCTTCACGGTTGGGATGGTGTTCTTCGGCTTGCAAGGCCCCCTTTTTTTCTCCAAACATAACAATGGTCGTTATGGCCAAACAGTTCTATTTTTGTTTCATCAGACCAGAGGACATTTCTCCAAAAAGTACGATCTTTGTCCCAATGTGCAGTTGCAAACCGTAGTCTGGCTTTTTTATGGCGGTTTTCGAGCAGTGGCTTCTTCCTTGCTGAGTGGCCTTTCAGGTTATGCCGATATAGGACTTTTCGCACCAAAGTACGTTAATCTCTAGGAGACAGAACGTGTCTCTTTCCTGAGCGGTATGACGGCTGTGTGGTCCCATGGTGTTTATACTTGCATACTATTGTTTGTACAGATGAACGTGGCACCTTCAGACGTTCGGAATTTGCTCCCAAGGATGAACCAGACTTGTGGAGATCTACAATTTTTTTGCTGAGGTCTTGGCTGATCTCTTTAGATTTTCCAATGATGTCAAGCAAAGAGGCACTGAGTTTGAAGGTAGGCCTTGAAATACATCCACAGGTACACCTCCAATTGACTAAAATTATGTCAATTAGCCTATCAGAAGCTTCTAAAGCCATTACATAATTTTCTGGAATTTTCCAAGCTGTTTAAAGGCACAGTCAACTTAGTGTATGTAAACTTCTGACCCACTGGAATTGTGATACAGTGAATTCCAAGTTAAATAATCTGTCTGTAAACAATTGTTGGAAAAATTGCACAAAGTAGATGTCGTGAACCGACTTGCCAAAACTATAGTTTGTTAACAAGAAATGTGTGGAGTGGTTGAAAAACTAGTTTTAATGACTCCAACCTAAGTGTATGTAAACTTCCGACTTCAACTGTACATACCATTAGATAATTCCCCAGTTTAAAACCGGGGAATGATCTATAGGAGGAGGTTGTAGAAATGACAGACTCCAGTTGTTCTGGGGATTGGCTGTTCACCTCTTACCTACAGATATTTTCGGCAATCAAACTGAGATTTCTCACTCACTGACTGCCTTTTTAAGGAGTCCAATATTGAGTTACATTAGTGCCAATCACAGTGGCAGCCCAGGAGGTCTGTTTGATGTTTTCGAGGGCGGTGGAGATAGAGAGAGCCTGTGCCCATATCGTGCACTATTGGGATGCATATATAGTGTTCAGGCAGAGGTTCCATCATGGCCGTTGGTGGTTCCGGCACCAGTTTGATAGCCGCCAGACCAAGTGCAATTATCTGTAGGTAAGAGCTGAACAGCCAATCCCCACAACAACTGGAGTCTCTCATTTCTACAACCTCCTCCTCTCTGGCTGTGATTGGTTCCAACCAGGATGTTGTAAAAAATGTACCGAATTCTGTAACCCTAACAAAGTGCCTAACTAACCCGCTGTCTTGAGCACTGATCCTAGATCAGTCTAAACGCATCTCCACTAAACACTGTCCACCAAGGGTTCTAACTTGCTGTAATAAGAACTGATTCTAGACCAGGCTACTATTACAGACAGACAGAAGTAAACATGTAAACACAAATAGAAAGAAGGACAACAAGGAGAAATACAATCATGTCTGTACATGTATGTACATGGCTGCTACAAAATAGTTCACCCTGTTTGTTTGTTTGTGATTACACTAAATTGCTTTAATACAGTAGATACCGGATCATAATAATTTTGTCAACAACAACAAAGACATGGGCTGTGTCCCACAATGCACCCTATTCTCTATATAGTGCACTACGTTTGACCAGGGCACTATGGGCACTGGTCAAAAGCAGTGCACTAAATAGGTAAAAATGTGTCATTTGGGACACATACATGGAGAAGAAGAAGAAAATATGTATAACTCTTCATATATCAATGTGATTAGCATTAAGACTTTGACCCTCCGCCCGCCCACTCCTAGCCCCTCCCAGCACCCTCACACCACCTTACTGTGACCCCACAGCCCCATATGAAGATCAAAGACAGTATTAACATGAAGGGAGATCAGTATGAGAGATAGAGAATGTGGGTGGGCGTCCGTGATAAGCAGGTCAAAGTCATATGCTCACCCACATGCTCTATCTCTCACACTGATCTCCCTTCATGTAAATACTGTCCAGAGAGTTCAATATTAAAAGCAATGACCATCTGTTCTCAGTAAAGGGCATTGGGGTTAGACAAATCATTGCAACACTACAGTAACTCAATCATTACTACTTTAGGCTGGCTGGCTACTGAAGACATGTAGTATGTGCTTTCTATCAAATATAGGCTGGTTTATATGTTCATAACTCAACACAGAGATCACATATTTCCCTGTTTTTGTTTTTAAAACATTATTGATCAAAATACCAACACATACATATAGTACTGCATTATATATTGGAGCAACAGTAAGTAAGCACTCTGTTTTTAGAGCGTTAGAGAGATTAGGATAATATTTTAAACAAAGCAATCGCCCCAAATGGCACCCTATCCCCTGCATAGTGCACTATATAATAAATAGAGTGTCATTTGGGACACAGAACACAGCGAACCACCACCACCAGTATTGATTGTTCAGTCCCTCTTGGAACAACCCTTGGCTAGAGGTGGTGTAGTGGATTATACATAGTTACTGTATACACTGTCTGTTACGCCTCAGCACTGAGGACAGAAATAAAGAAAGCAGACCTGGGTTTCAAATACTTGGAAAATCAATTGAAATACCTTATCTGTTTAAACTTGCCTGGTTTAATAAACCAATAGAAAAGTCCAAAAACGTCATACCTCACCCATCTGGCACTCCAGGCAGACTTAAGCAAACACTCAAAGTATTTGAAAAGATTAGTATATTAGTATTTGATCCCAGATCTACCAATAAGTCCAAACACTGTATATTGCAGCTCCAGCTGGAGATACTGTATGTGCTCAGAACTGACACTTAGCTAAACAACATGATTACTGACTGACTACTGACCACAGAAGGAAATGGACCAGGACAACCATGGTGTATCACCACCAGGTCCCGGGGGCACAGGGGCCCCCAAATTAGGTCCCCGGGTCCATAGGTCCACAGGGTACCTCAAATTTCCACGAGGTTTCCATGAGGCTGAGGCCCTCCTTCTGAGAGAACAGGGGACTGGGGGGAGGGGGATATTGTCATGGGGGTTGAGGTGTAGAGGGGTGCATCAAGTTGACTGAAAGGTGTGTTTTTTTGTGTCTCCAGAATATCTCCAAATCAATAATAGGAGCAAATGAGTTTCAGTCCCCAGTTTATTTGTAGTTCCCCCCTCTCTCTCTCTGTCTCTGTCTGTCATTTTTTTGGCCATCCATGATAGGTGTAAAATCCTTTATTCTCGTCATAATCCAGGCTGAGGAGGGGGGTAGAGCTACAGCAGGAGGGAGTGGGAGGGAACGTGGTGATTGATGTGATGTCTGGCCCCTCCCCTCAGCCACAGGAGATGACAGTAAAGCGTTTGGAGATGCAGGACATGTTGTGGAGCACGATTCCCAGGAGAAAGAGCAGGACGCAGGCTACCAGGATCACTGTACACACCCCGGACCACGTGGAGCCCTTCCCTCCACCACCACCTCCCCCGGCTCCCCTCCTCTCTGCCTCCTCCAGGCTGTCGAGACTCATCCCCAGGGGTTGCAGCTCAGGCATGGCCACCACTGCCACATCCACCTTCTGCTGCCCGCTGCCACCTGGCAGGAACCGGCAGCCCAGTTCGCCGGGCAACAGTGCCCTTTCCTTAGCGATGGGCAGGGGCAGCATGTAGCAGCCATTGCTAGGCAGGCGGATGAAGACGGGCGTGTGCTCGGAGGCGTGCGGGATTGCGATGACGGTGATGATGTCGGGGTCATCGGGGAGATGGGAGACGGAGAGGCCGGCGGGAAGTTTGGTGACGCCACGGCACCAGGGGCAGCGGATCTCTTTCTGGCTGGACCTCATCTGGGTCAGGCACACGGAGCAGCACGTGTGTCTGCAGTCCAGCAGCTTGGGCCTCCGTCGCGGGCTGTAGTAGTTAAAACAGATCTGACACTCCAAGATGGAGTCCTGCGAGAGAGACCGAGTCTCCATTTTGTTATGGATTGTTATTATTGGTCCTTTATAGTAGCTTTCACGTTTCCTTTCACTTCACTTATCAGAATGTTAGCAATCACGAGAATAGGCTGGTTTCACAAGGCTAGGTGCTTTATAGTTTCAGGAGAAGGGAGAGAACGTGCTCAACTGTTAACCAGGATGACAAAGAAGAATGTCTCTTATTATTTGACTGTAGTAGCAGAAAGCCAAATGGTATCCAGAACCTCTATAAGGCACTTGAATCCTCCTCAGAGCAAAGCTGTGCTGTTTGATCACGTAGCCTCTGCTCGGTGTCCTTCCACCCACCTGGCCGTCTCAGTGTCGGTGTGATGTCACAGGACGATCGAGGTCACATGGTGGTTCATCTGTGAAACAATAGAGAGGACAGCAGTGTTAATGGGCTGAAGAGATTTACGGGATAGAGAGGGTGTGTGTGTGTGTATGTATAGAAGTGGGCATCAACACTGATGGAGCAGAAATAGGAGCAGGGGCATGTTATGGGCATTGTAGCGGGCAGCCAGGCACGTAGGCTTTGTGTTTGTCCCGAATGGCACCCCATTCCCTATATAGTGCACTACTTTTGACCAGAGCCCTATGGGGAATAGGGTGCAGCCTTCGTCCCTCATCAGCCTGGATCTCTCGCATTCATTTTCACACAGATAAGTCAGTTAGCTGCCCTGCCCCTATCCACGCTCTGCCTCTCTGCCTGCCTGCCCGCCTGGCTGCAACATCAGAAGGAATCACACACACACAGACACACACCCACAATGCAGTGATACATGCGCATGTGCACCACACACACACACACACACAAACACACAGTTAGCTCTCATCAGACACACACACACACACACGACAGAGAAATAACTAACATTACAGAAACGTGTGACGAAGCTCATACACACCACATCATACAGAGCAAAGAGAAAGGAGGTTGTCATAACACATGCCACAACCACACGTGATGGAAAGTGACATCATCATCATGCATGACATATCCAAATCAGACACAATAGGGCAAGTCTGGGCACTAAGGCTAATTATTTTGCATCTTCAGTTCAGTTAACTTCATTATCCCACAGCAGGAAATGTATTTGGTCATCACGCTGTACACAGAATACATAAAAAATCAACGTACGTATTAGTTGGCCACAGGCTCTGTGAAAGTTTGTTCTCCCACTCTTCTTCTTACGTAATCATATCAGCCATGTTAGTTAAGGTCAATTCCATGGTAACAGAATAATGCTGAGACTCAGATTTCTCACTTAAAATGTATACCAAACAAAAAACATTGATGTCAAAGTTTAACAAACCATACAGCTCTATGCACAAGGACTACTTTAACAGGATGTTACTGTAATTCTGTTACCAAACTTTGCACACTTTTCCCAGATTTTTTTATTTACTTACTGTGTACATTTTTCTAAGTAGTCCTTGTGCATAGAGTTTTATGGTTTGTTCAACTTTGAAATCAATGGTTTTTGTTTGGCATTCATTTCAAGTGTTACATGCTAACCACACCGTACGTGTTGCATGTGTGAGCGTTGGAAAATAAATGTACACATACATGTTATTCAATCATTGCACCCACACTACTCGCGCTCATCAACGAGCGTCTGCGTGGCCAGGCGCTAAAATAGATCTTGGTTCTATTTGTGACGCTCAACGCGCTGCAAGTCCTGCCTCTCCCATCTCCTCATTGGTTTTTAGGAGCATCTACCCAGGTGGGTGATTGAAAGATGAACTGAGGTCTACGCTCCTGTCCAGTTGGTTGTGGTAATGCACCATAAAGTTGGTTGCCAAACGCCATTTAAAGTCCAAAGAAGAAGAAGAAGCCTGAAGGAGGAGAGATTACTAGAAAACAAAGTTTTACCGTTTTATCTGTGGATGAATTGTCGGAGTAGAGGACCTTGTGCATTTCAGGTAAAATAACAACCCAATGTTTATATCCCAGGACAAATTAGCTAGCAACAGCAAGCTAGCTAGCTAAATTGCCATAAATGTTTAATGCTTTTCGATCTCTCCCTAAATTAATATAATTGGTTCAGAGTTTATTTTGATATTTCAACCTGCGTGTCCTGATCGCGTCTGGTGTGGGGGGGACAAAATCAACTTGTGCGCTTGCGGTCTGGGTAGCATGTTAGCGTAATTCCATTAATGTGGAATTGCCCTTAATCCATGTAGAATCTCTGTTATGACGCTGACATTTACAGATGATTACGTTCTGTCAAAATATTGCTGTTAAAATGCCAAAGAGGGTCTCTGTGAGCTGGGAGTGTGAAATGGAGAGTTGGACTCAAAGCAAGGCAAGCTTTTTTCTTTCCTCTTCCATCTCTCAGCCCTATAGGGACACTGTAGCTTGTATGGTAGTAGGTACATGTCTTAGTAACTGACTGACAGAGGGACAGTGACATGGAACAACCGTGAAACCTTTTTATTTTCAAGGTGACCATAGATACTATTCATTTTGTCAAATTAGATCTTGTCAATTAAACTCCTCAGCTCTCACAGCTGTTTGCTCACAAGTTGTAATGGACTTGCAGACATAGTGAAGACATCCATGTGACATACCGGCTGTGTCCCAAATGGCACCCTATTATCTATGGGCCCTGGCCAAAAGTACTGCACTACTTAGGGAATAGGGTACCATTTGAGACACAAACATGTATGTCTTGTGATAGGTTTCTAAATCCACTGTAAAGCATCCCATTTGCAGCGGTTAGCGTCTCCGCCACACACATCTGAAATTCACCCACTTCCTCCCTCCCCCTCTTTTCCTCTCTCCCTCTATCCCTCCCCAGGCAAAATGCATCTTTCTGTTTTGGTTCTGATGCGATACCCCCTTCACTCTTCGCTTGACCTAGTTTCTCTAAACCGTTCTGCATTCTCTACCACCATTTCAAAGTCAAGTAAAATGCAGAAAAATCCCAGTAATTTTAGTTACAGGGGAGGAGACAGAGAGAGAGAGGGAGAGAGAGAGAGAGAGAGAGAGAGGAGGGAGAGAGAGATGAGCGAGAGAGAGAGAGAGATCAGAGGAGAGATGATCTACATAGAGGAAGAGAGAGAAGATATTATCCTGGTTCTCGTCTTGCTATACTATAGTAGCTAGGCATGGCGAGAGAGAGGAGAGAGAGAGAGAGAGAGACCTGCCTTAGGGGTAAGAGAACCAGGGGTATTAGTAAAAACCCTTCATAAGATAAGGATTAGCTTTGATCTGACAAAAATGCTTTGTGGCTCAATATTCCCATACACTCACTCTTTCACTATCCTCTCATTCCCTCCTGCATCCTTTACTCTCTTCCCCTCCATCCTCTGTTATTTACTCTCTCTAAATACATTATTACTCGACTGTTACTCTGTCTACCTTTCTTTAGGTGACTCATTCTCTCTCTCTCTCTCTCTCTCTCTCTCTCTCTCTCTCTCTCTCTCTCTCTCTCTTCTTCTCTTCCTCTCGCTCTCTTTTCCTCTCTCTCTCTTCTATCTCTCTCTCATTATAGTTTTGGGACCCATTTTCACATTTCACCCAGTGTGGGAGAAAAAACACACCTCACTGTCACTGAGCAGAACTATAGGAGGTATGGCAAATCTAATTTCTGAACATCCTCTTTAAAGCACTTAAAAGCAACTGTGAATTAATTCAGAAAAGTCTTAATACAACCCAAGGTTTGGTCCATCATATGATATGACTGTAGGAAGGGAATATGATTAAGTAATGATGGCGAGTTCCCTACTGGTGCCCCCTATCCCTGTCCAATCTCCACAGCCCCTCTGGCCCCCTGGGACCATCCGAAAGGACAGACACACTCCCTCCGCTGAGCGGAGCTGGAACACACACACACACACACACACACTGTGTCCCTCCAGTCTCCCCTGTCTCGCTCCACAGCACACACGATCAGCCGAAGGAAAAAGCGCACTCCTCCTTAAAGACAGCAGCTAAAAATAACCAAGGAAAGGACACACACACTCCCAAAAATTATACACTGGTTGGAGCAGGTCAGAGAGGGGGGTAAAAAGTAGCAGGGGAGTTGGAAGACAAGGGAGTAGAGGAGAGAAAGGGAACAGAAACACAGGTTAACACCCATTACCTTCAGATACTGAGGACAAAGCTGAGTCCCAAATGGCACCCTATTTCCTTTTGGGTTTCCAGTCAAAAGTAGTGCACTAAATAGGGAATAGGGTGCCATTTGGGATGCAGCGTGTAGACATTAGACACGCATCGAAACTAAACAGTTCCCTTTTCTGAAAGAAAGGCTCGCCTCCTACAAAATAACATGCACTTTCGCAAAAAGTCATTACTATGTACTTGTATGCATGAAAAGGCATTGATAGTACGCCACTTACAAGGGTGGCCACTTACTTACCGGTACTAAGATTAAAAACTCTGGCACAGTCAGAAACTGTTACTCTCTGTAAATTGAAACTAGGGGTTAATTGACTGAGTTGCCAAGTACTTTTACGCTCCACACTAACTCCTATGTTAATCCTCCACGCAACAATTCATCTTAATTAGACTAAAATGTTCTTATACATCGCAAGTGAAGCACACAGGCGAACAGAGAAGAGCACATTTGCCCTTGAGAAAGGTGTATCTCGATGATGAAAAGTGTGTGTGTGTGCCTTGTGATGTGTGCCGTGTGTGTCCAGGGGCCTGTGCAGCAGACTGCTGCAGGACACATTATGGCAATTTCCATCTTAAGGAGCTAGTCCCCATCTGCAAGCAAACACACACACACACACACACACACACACACACACACACACACACACACACACACACACACACAGTCCCCATCCACAGACGAGCCTGCCAGGCAGCAGTACTATAAGCTCTGGCCCACACACCCACATGAGCGTGACCAACAAACACACAATCCACTACCTCTCGGATACATCAGTAATACAGCTGAGGAGGGGGAGGTGTGTATGTGTGTGTCCGTGGGTGTGTGTCCTGGAGAGGGAGGTGATCATATATCTCTTGAGGAGCTTGCATCTCATTCTCCAAAAGCCAATATTTGACCACGTCTTTGGCTACCTTTCCTTTCTTATCAACAAACCCTAGTGGAAAACTGGAGAGAATAGATACAACACTAGGACCAGACTTACTGATTGAATTTCCCTGATTCTGAAACACATCAGACACCTCACATTGTTCTGTCTTAATCAATGTCTATCTAGCAGCTGGCTCCATTACCATAGATACAGGTAACTGCCAAAGTAAAGGAAACACAAACATAAAGTGTTGTAGCCCTTTACACTCGTACCTGTATACATGTTGAACATGGTAGATTTGGGGTCTGGCTGTACGATTGATGACTTTCACCTGGATTCACCTGGTCAGTCTATGTCATGGAAAGAGCAGGTGTTCCTAATGTTTTGTGCACTCAGTGTAGATACAGATATCATGGAAGGATGAAATACTGTTGAAGTGACGTCAATCAATTGAGAGAAGGGGCTTTCCGTGTTGTCTATGCATCCAAGAGCATTAACAATGTTATCAACTGTGCTGTCCACACAAAGACAATTATTTGTTTGTTAAATCAGACCAATTCAAAGCCCTTTGTAGCATGATGTCTATTGACGCCTACTCAGAATCGTAGCCTGCTGCCTGTTCAAAATGCTTTCAGTCTGATGTCATGACACCGAGCTGGGTTGTGTGTTGTGCAGAGAGGTAAAACAAGGCTGGAGTCTAAATCCCCGTATAAAATAACTACTCATCTTTCTTCTCAAGGTCTCTCAGGTCAGGATTAAATCCGATCAGTGGTAGATCCGCGTTATAGCAGGTTTGACATTTAAAGGTCATTTCCAATTGAGCCGAGTGCGGCGTTTACTCTGAATGTGGTCTCCACGAAGGCGGGAACATTGCCTTTTACAGGTGCACAGCTGACAAAGCACATCCGGATTTAACCCCAGCCTTAATGTTGTTAACTCAATGTGAAATACATCCAGGTTTAGTATCCTTTCCTTGATGTCGGTCATGGCATACAAGCAATCAAGATTGTCATTTTTGTATATCTTTGAAACTGAAATAATACATATCCTTGTAATATCTAACCAGATCCAACGGATGATACAATGTTTCTGTCTTCTACATGCAATGGCATCAACCCGTTCAATTATGAAATAACAGAATAAAACATCCTAATTATCAACAGCATTACAATCCCTTTGTCTGATGATGAAAGACAAGTTTAGACAGCACTGATGAGAAGTAGAGATAGTAGGACTATTATCTCTGTGATTAAAGGAGCAGCTGAAAGGAGAGGATGGGTAGCTCTATCTACTATCTGCCAGACATAGTTACTGATTGTAGAGATGTGAAGGAAACTACAACTGAACCAGACAGCTTGGAAAAAGTTGATCCTATTACAAATTAAGTCACAGTTTCAGACTCAAATTTAGCTGACTGTTAAGCATTAACCATATCTGTTAAAAATGTGAATAAGGGTTGTTGTTCACTCGTGTGTACACCACCATTTTTAACACAGTGCATATATCCTGCTTCTAACCAGCAGGTACTCTACACACACACACAACTTCACTCAGGACTGGGAATGAGATCATTCACACATCGGCAGGCAACGCAGCAGGAGTGTATGTGAATGGAATGGGAAAGGGATACCTAGCCAGTTGCACAACTGAATGCATTCAACCGAAATGTGTCTTCCGCATTTAACCCAACCTCTCTGAATCAGGTGTGTGTGCCCGTGCGTGTGTGCGCACAAGCAAGCTTACACACACTACAAGAGACAGCTTGAGCTTCTTACCCCAAGGACAGCACTACAGCATGAGAAGACTACACACACTTGATGTTCTACTAATGCTTGATCTCTCAATTTCTTTCTGACGCACTCCGCTATCAGACAGTCTTCAAACACACACCGCCTTTAACAGACACACACACAAACTTTAGTCTTCAAACACACACCGCCTTCAAAACATATCTATTCTAGTGTTCAATAACATCACAAGAGCTTTCCTCAGCAAGTCAGTCAAACAGATGATATCTAGAAACAGAGGGAAGTGAGTGGAGATATAACTCATTGCTCAAAGACAAGAACTGTCACATTACTTGAGTGTAATGTTGCTGGGGGGTCTTGGAAAGGAGTGAAGATATATTAGTGAGAGAGAGAAGGGATATTTTTGCACATTTTTAGAGTTGCCTGCCCTGAAACTGTTTCTTGTCACCTTATCAAGATCAACACCAGCTACTTTGTCGCTTGTCATTATAATCATAGTAACAGTAATACATATTACAACTCTTAACCATTCGAGTCCCTCGTCATTGTAAAACTATCATACTGGGCAAAACTGGTTGAAAGTTGTAATTTCAACCAGGTTTTACAGCTGAAAAGACGCTATTTCAACCAGTTTTTCCCACAGGGATATTTCAAGATCATACCATAGTTAGATCATCTTTGAAATAACACTGCCAGAGATATCAAGCTTAATCAAGATCATACATGTTGTCGAGGGACATGTATGGTGAACGTAGAGGGCGTCTGCTACAACTTCCGCTTAAACAATAACATAATTTATGTCTATTTCCCTTCAGGTCTCTCTGTACCATGCACACACAAGCACATAAGCACACTCTCACACACACACACACACACACACACACACACACACACACACACACACACACACACACACGTCTCTGTTGCCAGGCAATGGAAAAGAGAAAAACAGCCAAACCTAGGCAGACCTGAGAGTTTCATTATAATCTCATATTAGAACCTTACCTGAGCAGCTTAGCTCTTCCCCAAGGCTGTAGAGCTGGTTTAAACAGCATCATGCATACACTGACTACAGTTATATAACTGTATCATGTAGACCCTGACTACTACTGGTATACACTGTACTGTGCATACCCTGACTACCGCTATATGCAGTGCTGATACTGTATATGATGCTGCTACTGTACTAATACTCTCTCTCTCTCTCTCTCTCTCTCTCTCTCTCTTTACTGTAGCACAGCGGTAGCAAAAGCACCATAGATCCTTGTGTTGTGAAACTGGTGCAGAGGTAGCTAGCTACTAGAGATTAAATCCATGCTCTGTGTACCGAATACTGAGCCTCCTATCATGTAAAGGGAACCACCCATAGACATTATTTACTTAACAATTAGCCAGTTTATTAACCAATCAACAGCCACCCACCCAGAGATAATAGAGTTAAAGGGTGTTTCCCAAATGGCACCCTATATTCATAGAGCCCCATAGGGCTCTGGTCAAAAGTAGTGTACTGCGTAGAGCATAGATAGGGTCGCAGACAATTTGGGATGCAGACAAAGGCTTATCTTAGCTCAGAGGCAAACACAATGGTAGGCTAGAGCTATATCCCCTGTCATTAGTTACTAAGGCAGGGCCTTACTGTGGGCTTCAAAGAATTACGCCTGCGTTCCAAATGGCAATTTTTGTAGGGGTTGATACATTTTTTTGTGGAAATAAAAAACTGCTGAAGCCTTTTTAAACCTCAAATACAATACGAGTTTTAAATGTCCTGCATTGCAGGAAAGTTATCTTGCAACAGGGTGGTCAAATTAAGATCCTACATTTGTATGAGCCCTGACCAGATGTACTGCACTATAAAGGGAATAGGGTACCATTTAGGACCCAGTTACACCATCAATGGGGATCAATGGAATAGCAGCATTGATTGGTCATTAATCAGTCAATGCGACCAGGTTCTTAGCTCACTGAGTGGATTATAAATGACTATTTCAGTAGGAAAATCTCCCAGCTTGTCCTTGTGTGTGGGCATACAGATAAATACATTCTAAAACAGTCCACAATGTGTCTATACTACAGTATATTTGTTCTAAGTTAAAATAGCTGATAATCCTTTGAGTATAAACCAATTATAAACCCTAATTCCTCCTCTTCAAAGATATATTGAAAATTCAAGAGGGTAATTTTCTCAGTAAGGCTCTCTTGACAAACATGAATCAAATCACTAGCTAACAACATTTAGCTTTCGCACATGCTTTCTGCCTGTACTTTGTCCCCCAAAAATAGATTTCAAGAGCACTGCTGCTGTATATGGAATATATTGGATTACAGTAACTCTCTGCTCATAAATCTATTCATGTACAGTATGTAAATTATGAGTAGATCATAGTTTTAATGCTCTGACTAGATAGCTGTGAGGTAGTTGTCCCCAATTGAAACAAAAGAAAGATGTGTACAATACATTGTGCGACAAATTATAAACCTGATCTGAGGAATACAACAAAACAGATTCTCAATCCAGAGTATCAGACCCAGTAGGCCGCCATGACACCTGCTGCCCTGGGACTGAGTTTGAGGGATTACTGTACTGTTGTCTGTCGGCAGTTTTCACACCCCCTCTCCCTTTCTTTCTTCCTCACACTCTCTCTGTGTCTCTCTCTCTTCCCTCTCGTCTCTTAAAGTGCAAAAGAAAAGGTTGAGGTAAAGAAAGGAGAGAGATATTTCATCTGACTGGTTGGCGTGCAGCGGTGGACAGCTCTGGTGAAAACACAAACAGATCGATGAGATGATTGGCACACACCACAATCCCGGCCCTGGGCCAGCCCAGACACTCAACCTGCGTCCCAAATGGCATCATATTCCCTATGTAGTACACTACTTGTGACCAGAGCCCTTTGGGATTAGGGTGCCATTTGAGACGCAGACACTCACTGGCCCTGACTGAAATTCATCCATCAATATGGGACACACTCGTGTCCCATTCTCCCCCCCTCCCCTCTTCTCATCTCAATCACCTTTACACACACAACCATTATGTAGGCCAACTCACACACACACACACTATCAAACACCCTCCTAGATCCTTGAGTACACATTCTATCCAACCTAGTGCACACATGAAAATACAGTGATGAAAGCTACTAAAACAAATTCTATCTTTCCAGAGGGTAGGCTAACATTGATATATAGTGACAATAAATTAGCTTTGCTAGCGCTTTAAATCCTCCACCCTCTGGGACCCTGCAGCTATGAATTCCTTTTTGAGGACAGTCAGCTATCAAGTGTTTTTCTTCCTTTTCATTCCCACTGAAACCGTCCCCAGATGTTGGCAAATCAACAGTCTTTAACATTCCTCTACCCCCTCATCACCCCTCATCTCATCTCTTATCCCCCCTCGTTTCTGGCAAACTCAAACGCTGAAAAATGAGTGCCGTCTATTCTTCTCTTCTGACAGATAAGGTGGCGTTTGTGATTTACATAATGTCTCCAAACTACACGACAACAGCAATGCGCTTCCTGACAGATATCCCAGCAAAACTCTGAAGGAATTACCAGCCCCAAATGGGTAAGAAATTCAAACCCTCACGGACAATACTGATTCGGTTCTACACAAACATCATCGACTTCATCCTCACCTCCTCGTTCACTGTCTGACTTGGGAATGTGTTGGGCCGCTCTAAGGGCAAACTGCAGCAGAGTGTCATCAGCTGCCACCTGCCCTCCATCGAGGTCCTGCACGACTCCAGGGCAATGAAGCATACAGGAAAGATCATCGCTGACCCCTTCAACCCCCTCTTCCAAAGACCCCTCTGGGAAACAGTTCAGGGCCCAGTTTTCCAAAAGCATATTAAGGCTAAGTTCATCGTTAGATTAAGTAGCCTATACACAGCCAAGACAGAAAGATAAATGCGGTCAGAGACCCACTAAAGCAGCACCACCCCCTCAAGATGCTGAGCCTGCCTGGCAGAGTTAGTCCTTCAAAGGATGGGTCCCGGTCTCTCGGGGTCCATGGGATCCGGGGGGACGGGGGTGGTCTGCCGGTCACTGGGATGACATCCCAACTTGGGATGGGTGGAGGATTTAGCGGGTGGAATAGTGGAGAACAATTGGAGGTTTACTTAGTAACAATGCAAATATCACGGCAAATATACTTCTCACATGGGCAAAGAAACTCAAAAGGAGTTATGGTATTAATAAACAATCATTTTGATCCGAATGTGTAAATTGTCCAAACAGATCCGCAAG